TCAGCAATTTCTGATGTCAGTGAGCCGGTCTCCCATGGCAGTGGGTAGTTAATGTTCATGTACATTTTGTGTACACACATTTGAATTTGATTCAGAATTGATTTGTCTTGTCTTGTGCTTTCAAGTCTGCTTCAGATAAGAAACAATAAGATGAATGCAGAGCTGTATTGTAAATGATAGACATGTTGACATGCCACATAAGGAAAAGCATAGGTGAATAATAAAGTTAATGATGACTGATTTAAATGAACAGTTTTAGGCTCCTGGTATTGTGCGGGATGGCTCGATGTCACACTGTCACAAGCTTTAGTTAATGTTTTCAGCTTTCACCATCAAATACTCCAAATACGTAGCTCTTGTGGTTTGTGTCATATTAAATGTGCCTTTTTCAATATTGCTCAGTTCTGCCAACAAGTGTCTGCTGAAGGTGGGGGCTTACTGTGCTCAGTTAGAGCAATACCAGAAGGCTATTGAGATCTACGAGCAGGTTCGTACTACTTGTATTTGTGCGCCATGCTTGCACTTTCTCTGTCAGCAACTGACTTGGTGATGCACACATTTCTAATACATCTCCCATGACTTGGATGTATCTAGGTCGGAGCCAACACGATGGACAACCCGTTGCTGAAATACAGCGCCAAAGAGTACTTCTTCAAAGCCTCCCTGTGTCATTTTATTGTCGACGAGCTCAACGCTAAGGCGAGTCTATACCTTTGCGGTTTATTGCTTGGATTTGGGACGGGGAATGGTGGTAGAATATTAACACGCCCTCTCTCCACAGATCGCAGTTGAAAAATATGAGGAGATGTTCCCGGCTTTCTCAGACTCTCGAGAATGCAAACTGCTGAAGGTAAGTTAATGCTAAGAACTCCGAGGAATATGATGTCTTACTTTTTCCCCCTTAATCATATCCGTTCCTATGAGTAACATACTTTCTTTTTTTTTTTTTTGTCCTTACAGAAACTTCTTGAGGCTCACGAGGAACAGAACAGCGAGGCGTTCACAGAAGCAGTAAGTCTTGTATACCCTAAGAAAGCTCTCAAGTTTTAAAACAAGGCTTTTGGGGAGCACAGGAGTCCCACTGCTTCAGCTCTTGTAGTTTTGTTGGGATCCCGTGTGAGTTCAAGGAAGTTGAAGGCTGGATCTCCCAGCACTGTGTGTTTATGTGGCACTGGTACAGACTTATGAGCTCCTAAAGGATTTTTTAAAGTTAACTCAAAGTCAGAGAAGAGGGAAAAGTCCTCAGCTACAGTATGTTACAGTGTATCTCTGCTATTGTCAGAGTTTACACAAATGCAATGCCGGCGTCAGAAGCTTACCTGAACTGTATATTGTATAATTTTATCAGTAATGTGTAACGAATTAAGCTAAGTGAGCAGAACCTTTGAATTGTAAAAAGCTTATCTCTGTGTCCATCGCCCGCCTGCAGGTAAAAGAGTTTGACTCGATCTCACGCCTGGACCAGTGGCACACAACCCTCCTGCTGCGCATCAAGAAGACCATCCAGGGTGATGAAGGGGATCTGAAATGAGAGAAACACGGGGGTAGAAATGCAGCACGGAGGGACAAATCCATCACGCATGCTTTCTCTCACACACACGCACACACACACGCACACACGCTCACCTCACTGTGTATAGCATCTGGAGATGAGTGTCTGCTGACGATTTTGAATATTCCACCGCTCACTGCTACACTGTCAAAGTACTATCTTTGCTTTCTTTACGAGCATATCTGAATCTAGTGAGAATGTAAATCCTCTCGCCCTCACCTCTGTCTAGAGGATTGCTGCATACCTTTCCTGCTGAAATCTGTCCTGGGCGATTTCAGAGCGGTATATTGTATTGAAACTGATGTTAGTATTGACATTAAGCCCCGCATGTTTTGTACAATTATTGTTTTATAGTCAGATGCAGCTTGTTTGTTTTTTTTTTTTATCTAGTTTTATTGTATATTTAAACAGATTATTTAAATGTTTCAGTTTGTTGTACATAAGATTATCATGGTGTGTATAAATGTACTGTTATCTTAATTTTTTTTATTTGTTGGAGTAGAGAAGGGATCAAATCAATGTTGTGATTTTTCTTAAAACTTCATTATGATTACAGCCACAAAAAGAGTGATTTTGTTTCCATTTGATCGCCAATGGGGGAAAGACTCTTCCTGAAGAAGGGCAATGATATGCACCAAGTGTAGACTGTTAAACATTTGTATCTAATCATAATCATACACATTCATACTTAAATTACTTTAGTATTATTTATTACTTAAGGATTTGTTGATGTAATACTACTTTGAATGTTTGAATCTGTAAGCTGTGACTTATAGTTTGCTAGTGGAAAATGTATTTTTAAATCAAAAGCACTGACATGGAAACCCCCACTCCGTATTTCCAGGGACATAATCTTGGGGGGGTAACGTGCGTCATTAGTCACTCATCTCGTGCTGTGTTGTGATGTGAACTCATCTTTGAAGGTTTACTACAGTGCACCTTCCAAATGGCCAGTTGCTAAGCATGTCATTGTGTATAGTTCAGTGTTGTTACATTCACTAGTGTGAGCCAGACCAAAGTTTTTACAAAAGGGTCAGTCGCCCTGCGTATCCAGCTTCTTCCATGTGGACTGACAATGGACCTTGGATATGATCTGTATGCTTGTGTGAATGGACAATAATAAAGATATTATATCCCAGCTGCGCTGTTCTGCCTTTGACCTCATCTATCAAACAGATTCATTTAATCGGCCTTTAAATTATCTTTTGTGTACATAATCCAAAATTTTCAGGATAAACAAGCATTAAATTTTCAGGTAGGACATACTATACCTCACAATCTAGTAATATGACAATGTTCCAAAAGTGAATTCAAACTAAAAAAAATTAAAAATGTAAATAAATCGTCACTGAATTTTTATGGATTACAAATGTGTACAATTACACACCACTAACATGTTACAATGAATTCTGTGGCCTCCGGGCTCAGTAATACCCATGTCTTCCTAACTGTTCTCTGAAGTCTACTAAATAGTGCAACAGTACAAACTCCTTTTTTTATCTTTACCAACATAATATCATGGGTACGCAGATCTCATTAGTGAAAATGGGTGCAGTCTAGTTTTTGATTATAAGTACTAATTACATTTCCCATTAACACTTCCCAAGTCCAGTTCCATATTCCAATGCTGTCCATGTTGCTATAGTGCAAAAACCTTATTATTCTTTATTTAGCATGTCACGTGTTAAACCTTTATTATTCCAGGAGTGGGAAATGAGTAAGTAGCTAGCTGTTTTTATACACGCTGTTTTTGTTAATTGTTTGAACCTGATATAATAATCCTATTTCATATATTGCTTTATTGATCCATTACATTGCTCTGTTGTGTCATTCCTTGCGTGTCTGCTGTAGAGCTGCCGCCTGCCAGACTGTCACCTGATACTATAAACATGACCATTTCATTGGTGGAGCTTGTGATTTTAATCAGTGATATTTACAGTGTAACCATGGTACCTCCGTTTCAGACCATTTACTGCATCATGTCCTTACACAACAGTGACCAATGTCCACATTATGTTTAGTGTGCATTTTACTCTCATGCCCACTGTTTGACCCCAACCAATCCTTTGAGCAGCCATCCAAATTGAATACATGTTGTTTGATAGATGATGATACAAATTTTTTTCATTACCTTTCAATTTTTTTCAGTCAAAAAGAAGACAGCAACCAATTTAAACAGCCTAATCATTTTTCACAGTTAAAAATTCTAAACTAAGGTTATGTTTCTTAGCGTTAAATAAAAACAAAGGGATTTAAAAAGGGATTGTAATGCAGATACCTGCTGAACATAAACATTTGAATACAGGCTGTGATCTAAGGAAACAAAGGAGAATATGAAAGTGCCAGGATTTGAAGGATTTAACTGACGTCGTTTACATTCCAAGATCCAACATAAATGCCAGTAATGCAAAAAAAAAAAAATATATGCTGTTGTTCCAAAGGAGTATGGAAAGCTACTGATAATTCACTGGGGTGCTGTTCTGCAGCTGCCAAGGTTCCCACACCATCCTACACAGTATAAAAGTTGTAACTCCAGCAATGATGTATGGGGAACAGATGTCTAATTTGAGTGGTAAAATGTAAAAAACCCCATGTGATGTTTTTGATGATTATATGTCATGAATTAACAATCACCTTCATTATATTTGTATTCAATAAGATATGTGCCGCAGTTAACCCTATATATATTATTAGATATGTACACTATTATTTAATTAATTAATTATACCCAATGTCTTAATTGTGCTCTAGCTGTATTTCTAAAACGTAACTAAAGCACAGGCAGGTTGATTAGATTTTTAACAAATACCTTGACATTTCAAAAGAGTGCGACAAACACTGAACATCACATCCAGGTCTGTTAATGAAACACTGGATCATAATAATAATGAAACACCACATGGTGAGAACACAGTCACACACCGCTAATGCCAGAATAAAATAACATTGAAATGGGATTTTAAATTCTATTCCTAAACCCAGATAAACTGATTTATCGCATGCATTTGCTACTCAGCATCTTGAGCTGGGGGCTCTGTGTGTTCAGCTGGTGGGTTATCTGCTGTCCTTTGCTGTCCAGCAGCTTGTTGTTCGTTTTTACAAACCATATCACCAACAATCACAGTCTGAATATCAGGCTGCACAATATCTGTCTCAGAAGCAGCTTTAGTCTCTGAAACTGGAGCCAAAATGGTCTGTGAAGCAGCAGTTTCTAGGACAGATGACGTAGAGACTGTTGGGATCTCAGAGACATCAGAAACGGGAACTGAGAGAGTGGGTACGGACAGAGACATGGATACTGGTATAGAGAACGGGACAGGGATGGATGATCCGTCTAAGGAAATGACACTGGCCCCTGTGGCGTCAGTGGTCACAAGGGGCTGGAGCTGGGTACCAGGTGGCACCTCAGTGTGGATAACAGTGATCCCGCCGAGGGCGCCGTGGCTGACCAGAGCAATGGCCCCATGAGTGGTCCATTCAGATGGGAGGGTGACTGGCTCACCTGGCACCACAATGGAGTCAGTGTGGGTTTTACCAGGACTGCCAGCAGCACTGGTGCCAGTACCAGTACCAGTAACCAGCACCAGCCACCATTAACACCATTTTTCTTGGTGGGTACCCTTTTTCTCCCTCTGGCCATTTTCTGTCTTTTCTTTGTGGGAGTTTGGTTCTTGTCCTCCACATTCCCTCCCAGAACCACAAGGAGGTTTTCAGGGAGCACTGGTCATGGATCTAAATGTTAGAAGATCTTATGTTATTTTCACAGCAGTCTGATGGGTCAAAGTACATTAAACACAACATCAGGTGATACACATACATTGGTAGTTGTTGTATAAAAGCCAAATATAGATAGATTTATATGGAGGCAGATATAAACAGCTCATTCTGAGGTAAAAAAAACCAACTCGTCTTATTTCAGGTGATTATAACCGATGAAAACATAGCTGTGAAATTATTTTATTTATGCCACAGACCCTCCATACGTCGTTAAACACTGGACCTTTAACCATGTACATTTTTTGATCATGGACACTTAACACTGGTTACGTCCATTTCAGTAAGATAAGCACTGCTCACCATAGTGTGCCTCCGAAGGGTGGATTTGTCTGTAAAGGTGCGTCTACAAAGACCACACATGTAGGGTTTTTCCCCTGTGTGAATGCGCTGGTGCCTCTGGAGTGCATTGAGCTGGGTGAACTGCTTGTCACAGTCTTTACAGCTGTATGGACGCTCACCTAACAGTCAACACAGTCAAAATTAAGCGTAAACAGAGGAGAACAGTAAGGAAGAAAAGAGGCTTCTCAGCTGTAAAAGCAGATTATGCACCCAAATGAACACGTTGCAAATATGTAAATGATTGATGCAGTTACCTGTGTGTATTTTTAAATGCTGGTGGAGGGAATTCCTCTGAGCGAAGCCTCGACCACACTGATCGCACTTGTATGGCCTGGACCCAGTGTGGATGTTTGAGTGGTGTCTCAGGTATTCTTTAGATGCAAAGCTTTTCCCACAGGCTTCACACATGAAGGGCTTCTCTCCTAACAGGAAATACAACAGCAAAACAATGATCATTTCACTTTTGGTA